AAAATATTGTTTATTTTGAAGTATATTATGTACCCTCTTATATTAAAGGTTAAATTCTCAATTTGGTTTCTGAACCATTGACGGACCTCTGATTTAGTTCCTGAACTAAAAAATTTCATGATTTGGTCCTTGAACTATTTTATGGACCCCCGATTTGGTCCCTATTGTTTACCAATTTGCCCTAAGTTGATCCTTACGTTCAAAAAACAACTAACGTGTTTATTACTTAATGACGAAAAATAGTAACTTAACAACAAAAAACAGTAACTTGACGGTCACGTGTCATATTAATAACAAAATACGTCAGTTAGTTTTTGTATGAAAGAATCAATTTGGGGTAAATTGGCAAACAATATGGACCAAATTGGGGATCCCTACAATAGTTTAGGGACCAAATCAGGGATTTTTTTTAGTTTAGGGACCAAATTAGGAATCCGTACAATAGTTTAAGAACCAAATTGAAAATTTAACTTATATTAAAATAACATTATTTTTAAAAAAAGATTACTATTATTTTTTATTTTTTAAAATAAATAAAAAAATTTTTTCTACAAGAGTAGCACATAGACACAAGAGAAAAACAGCAGAAAAAAAAAAAAAACGATCATCTTATTGGAGTATTATCCTAAACCATTCTACTACCATATTCATACTTCTATCCTAAACCATTTGGCAAAACATTACAAGCAGTATTAAACACTGACTATTTTAACACCAAATTTTCTTTATTCATTAGGAACAAAAATTTTCAAAGAGCACTGCCGACATCAATTGGGTTGTTGATCTTTGTTTTCCCCCTTCGTGCCAACGTGTCCATTTATGTTCCAATTTAGCCAATCAGCAAGTGCAAGTCGAAAATTCAGAAGTTGATACCATCAGAAAAGGATTTTAGAATATTGTTTCTCATATTGCTTACATTTGTTAAAAACATCAGTTTAGGAATGTCATAAAATATATATATATATATATATATCAGTTTTTCTTATTGCACCAAGGTAATGTTGGAACGTGCTTTCAAAATTACTTGAAGAAAAATTTTGGTATCAAAATATGTAAAAATTAACTTAAAGATATTTTAATCATAAATTATAAAAAAATAATAATACTGTAAATATGTAGATCAATTAATATATTTTACTAAATAAAAAGAGCTGATTATAAAGTGTTGCATTATGTTTTAAAGGGTATTTATATTCAAATATAATTAATAATTAATTTTTAATAATTAATAATTTAAAATATTTAATTTATTTAAATAGAACTTTTTGAAACTCCAAAATAAGCACCTTTGAGTATTGCATAAAAAAAAATTTTTTGTCCCATCATTTCCTTAGAAGAGTTCTGTCTCTCTCTTTTTTATTTTTTTAATAGTTAATCATAATTCATAAATAATTTTTTTAAATAAAATATTATGTTATTTGAACTCAAATTTCGAAAAAAAATATACACTTCACTAAGATGATAAGAATTACTTGGTCAATGGGGCAGGTATAATTCATAAATACATATTTACCTCTAAAGCAAGGGAGAGGAAATAGGAAACTCGGGGTTCGATTCGAACCGCCCTGTGTGATTTTCCATTCCCTCCCAAGCAAGTGGCTTTAGTTTAGTCACCACTACCCCGTATATGCTTCCACCGACCTTTCTGTGGGACAAATTTCTCATTTTTAATCCTGCATAAATTTTGAGGAAAAAGATTTCAACTCAATACTTAAAATTAAAAAAAAAAAAGTATCTTCTACAACAAAATTTTTAATTAATTGTCCTTTTGGCAGGTGCTTTCTACCGAACAAATTAGGATTACTTTTATCACAATTTTTCATAATAAATGTGATGTTGATATGATATTGGGTGTGGTTCTACCATGTCCGTATCCATAATGATGCAACCAAACCATGCCTGTCTGCAAGAAAGGCACACAGTTTTGGACCAGAGTGGGACAATAAAAAAAGTAGGCATGGTTTCTACAAGGACTCTAAGTGCTTGTTCTCAGTAACTTTTGAGTCTCTGACAGGTCTGTGTATCTTTAATCCTCTTATCCTCCTGAGTCCACCATTGTTTCTTGTCATCAAGATACAATGTAAGTGCAAAGTTTATACCTTTCTACATTTCTTCAACAGTGGAGCATTTTCCTCTTCATAAATGCGTAAATGAGGTTTTGAAGCTTACAAGTTTCTGTATGATGCTTGTCTTCTAATGTATTTTCCACTTTCTTACTCTAAATCGCTTTGTTTAGATGCATCTGGGTTGTTTTCATGCTTTTTTCAGTGCTCTGTTTCATTCATTCCTGTTCTGTGTTCTTTCTCTCTGTTTGACTCGCCAATGTCTAAAACATTATCTGTTCACTGATATGTACAGCTTAATCTACCTAGATCTTTATGTCTCTGTATTATCTCCCTATTCTTGGCAATGTTGCCGATGATTGGTGAAAGTAGCATGCAGATTTCCAGTTTTTATGCTGTTTTTTTAGTATCGAGCATCATTTTTGAGCTTACCCACTTTGTACTTAACTGTGAAAATGTGTTTTCATTTCCAGATTGGAAGTAAAAGGATGATCTGGGCACCCAAAATGGGGCTATTTTCAATACCCATGTTGGGGTTTTTACTGTTCTGCTGCTTGGCAGTTACTGCAGAAGCAACATACTTGAAATACAAAGACCCAAAACAGCCTGTTGGTGTTAGGATCAAGGACTTAATGAACCGTATGACTCTCGAAGAAAAGATAGGCCAAATGGTTCAGATTGAGCGAAGTGTTGCAACCCCAGATGTTATGAAGAAGTACTTTATTGGTAAAGGAAATCTTTTTCTAACAATCTTTAGTTATGTCCCTTGAGTTTTACATGTCTCTTGACAAGTCTGCTTGTTATTGGTTTTACAATTACATTGCCTTCTCTGTTAATTATGTCAGCATCATCTTATATTTGCTTGGTCTTTCTTAGTATTGTTGTTTTGGAAAATGTATTAGAGTGTGATTGGTGAATTGGGATGTGTAGGGAGTGTTTTGAGTGGGGGAGGAAGTGTGCCTGCTACAAAAGCTACTCCTGAAATTTGGGTCAATATGGTGAATGAGATTCAAAAGGGTGCTTTATCTACTCGTCTTGGAATTCCAATGATCTATGGTATTGATGCTGTTCATGGTCACAATAATGTCTACAATGCCACCATTTTTCCTCACAACGTTGGTCTTGGAGTGACCAGGCAAGTTATGCCATGCGTTTTGAAGAAACATGTTCTCTGAATTATAGGGAATTTTATGCTTTTCAAATGATCTATATTGATTAGTGATGAAAAATAAGGATCTGGTTCTGTTCTCACTTTCCTTATGCATAATATTCTATTTCCATTATGCGGCTCTACTTCTGAAAATATCAAAATGTCTGGATACTTTGTTATCTGCAGGGATCCTCAACTTCTCAAGAAGATTGGAGATGCAACTGCTCTTGAAGTCAGAGCTACAGGAATCCCTTATGCTTTTGCTCCATGTATTGCGGTAGTTAACCTTAAGGATATGCTTCATTGTTAAATATTCCTGAGAACCTTAGATTTTCTTTTTTCTTTTTCTTTTTTTTTGTAAATTCCAGTGAACCTTAGTTGTTTGTATCCACGGTTCACCTTTTTACTTCTGTCAATTTTGAACAGGTTTGCAGGGATCCTAGGTGGGGCCGATGCTATGAAAGCTATAGTGAGGATCATAAGATTGTCCAAGCCATGACTGAGATCATTCCTGGTTTACAGGGCAATCTCCCAGCCAAATATAAAAAGGGCATTCCCTTTGTTGCTGGCAAGTAAGAACTCTTATGATAATTATCTACCTGGACTCTCTCTTTCCAACTTGTTTATATGCAAACTAATATCCTGGTAGGATTCTCATTTTGTGTCATCTCAAGTTGTAAACTTGGCAGAGAATAATAATGAAATTTGTAACATTTAGTATTATTTGTAACCTTGCTGGTAGCAATTTCCCTGATCTATTAATTTCAATGTTAGGAACAAGATTGCAGCATGTGCTAAGCATTATGTCGGAGATGGAGGGACGACTAACGGCATCAATGAGAACAATACTGTGATCAGTTTGGGTGGATTGCTCAGCATCCACATGCCTGCATACTATGACTCCATTAGAAAGGGTGTTGCCACTGTTATGGTATCTTATTCGAGCTGGAATGGCAAGAAGATGCATGCCAATCATGATTTAGTCACTGGCTTCCTCAAGGACAAGCTGAAGTTCAGGGTAACAAAAATGATTTCTCTACTTGCCTTGAATAAAAAGAAAGGTGATTTTAATTTTTTGTTCAATTTGGTGTATTTCAGGGTTTTGTCATATCAGACTGGCAGGGTATCGACAGGATCACCTCTCCTCCACATGCCAACTATTCATATTCTGTTGAAGCTGGAATTAGTGCTGGGATTGATATGGTCAGTCAGAATTTTGTAAATATATTTGACATGTCTTTTAAAACCTTGATTTGGTTGGTTCTTTTTATTTCATCATTTTGTAATGCATCTCTACGTCTGATGCAGGTCATGGTTCCCTATAACTATACGGAGTTCATTGATGATCTAACCAATCAGGTCAAGAACAAGATTATCCCCATGAGTAGAATTGATGATGCTGTGAGAAGGATCTTAAGGGTTAAATTTGTCATGGATCTCTTTGAGAATCCGATGGCTGATCTCAGCCTGGCCAACCAACTTGGGAGTAAGGTTTGTTGAATCAAGTTTGTTGTCATTGTAGAGACTGATCTTCAGTTACGTAAGCAAAAGAAAAAGAAAATAACATAAGAAAATTACCACACTAATAGAATGACATGGCTTTGGCAGGAACATAGAGAATTGGCTAGGGAAGCAGTAAGGAAATCACTTGTGCTTCTGAAGAACGGTAAATCTAGCAATAAGCCTTTACTACCCCTTACCAAGAAAACAACCAAGATACTAGTTGCTGGAACCCATGCCAACAACTTGGGCTATCAATGTGGAGGCTGGACAATCACATGGCAGGGTCAAGGTGGAAATGATCTCACAATAGGTATGTTCTAAATTCACCCATAGACACAAGTTTTCTGGAAAAAATTATTTGGAGACAGCTAACACATCGTCTGCATAAACAGGGACCACAATCCTCAAGGCTATCAAGAACACGGTTGACCCATCCACTCAAGTTGTTTACAATGAGAATCCTGACACAGACTTTGTTAAGTCCAACAAATTCTCCTATGCCATTGTTGTTGTGGGTGAGCCACCATATGCTGAAACATTTGGTGACAGCATGAATCTGTCAATATCTGAACCTGGTCCAAGCAATATCAATAGTGTCTGTGGGGCAGTCAAATGTGTTGTTGTTGTCATTTCTGGTCGGCCAGTGGTGATCCAACCATATCTCCCAACTATTGATGCACTAGTGGCTGCTTGGCTTCCAGGAACTGAAGGCCAAGGTGTTGCTGATGTTCTGTTTGGCGACTATGGTTTCACAGGGAAGCTTGCCAGGACATGGATGAAGACTGTTGATCAGCTCCCCATGAATGTAGGTGATCCCCATTACGATCCCCTATTCCCATTTGGATTTGGTTTAACGACTAAACCCCACCAGGCAGAACCTAAATCCCATTAGAGCTTGATTTGCATTTTGCCTGGTTTCTTCATGGAAGAATTTGTTAGAATCCCTTCATTGTTATTTCAATACAATAAACAATTCCAGAATGTCACGACTCACTCTTGGGTGTAGTTTTGCTTGTTCATCTGCATGAGATGGTGCATAGGTATTTGTGAGGCTAGTAAGGTTAAATTTTTAGTACCATGTTATTAAAAAAAGAGTAATGATGCAGGGGACAAAAACGCGAGACGAAAATGGAAGACAACAGGTTATGCAAGATTTATATATGTGGTGCAATTATTAATTTGACCTCTTGCATAACTTGTCATCACCCATTTTCGTCCCCTGCACCATTACTCTTAAAAAAAAATGAAAATGTTTTGTAGATTAGACGGTAAACTTGGACCCTTGGACGAGGGGCTGAATTTTAAGAGTTTTTATTTTTTAATTCAATACAATTTAAATTGTATCAGTCTGTAAAATTATAAATTAAAAAAAAATGGAAGGAAAGTAACTTAATCAAGTAATGCGTAACACCAACAAATAGAGAATACATTCCTACCAGAAATTGATCAATAAAAAATTCCCAAAACTAATCAGTTAAGTAACAGTTGGGAAATTGAAAAGTCTAAGGCAATGAAACTATGAACAGAATAGAATGAAAGTCATTAGTTGGCCTGGACAGGCTCTGTTGTGAGGCCAAAACCAAAGGCAAAAAGTGGATCATAATTAGCGTCTCCAACATTCATGGGAAGTTGATCTACAGTCTTGAACCATGTCCGGGGCAGCTTCCCTGTAAATCCATAGTCCCCAAAGAGTACATCGGCGACTCCATTTCCCTCACTTCCCGGCAGCCAGGCGGCGACCAAAGCACCCATCTGGTCAAGATACGGCGCAATCACCACAGGTCTTCCGGAAACGACAATGACCACGCACTTTACTCTCCCACAGACAGTGGAGATGACATTATAACCCGGCTCCGCAATTAGCAGATCACGGCTGTCGCCAGCAGTCTCGGCGTATGGGAGCTCACCCACCACCACCACGGCATAGGAGAAGTTGTTGTTGGACGTCATAAAATTGGAGTCGGGATTCTCTCTGTATACAATCTCCGTGGAAGGGTCAACAGCGGTTGCAATAGCACTAAGGATGGTGGTTCCTGTGGTGTTGTTGTTGCCGGAGAGTCCTTGCCAGGTGATTGTCCAGCCACCGCATTGATATCCCAAGTTGTTGGCATGGGTTCCGGCCACCAGGATCTTGGGTGCTTTCTTAGACAGAGGCAGCACAGGACCATCAGCATTTTCTCCATTCTTCAACAAGACAAGTGATTTTCTAACCGCTTCCCTTCCCAAATCTCTATGAGCCTGCTTTGCAAAAACATAAAATCAATCAGAAGAATAGGTGTAGTTCAATTCGAGCTTAAGCCCGATGAATGTGAGTTGAGCTGAAACTTATTATAATATGTTTGGTTTGAGGGAAAAGGAGGGGAGAACAATGATGTTGTATCCTCCATTTCCCTCCATTTCCCTTCTTTGGCCTCCATTCCTCTCGACTCAAACATACTATTACTAGCCTCCAACATTTTGAGAAAATCTTGCTAATTAACCTGGCTTCCGAGCTGGTCAAGGAAACTCTGATCAGATAAAGGATTCTCAAATAGTCCCATGGTGAATTTCACTCTCAAAATCCTCCGAACAGCGTCATCAATGCGACTCATGGGAATGAATTCACCGTTCACAAGTCCAGTTAATGTGTCTATGAATTCTGTATGGTTGAAGGGAACCATGACCTGTAAACAGAATTTGTATCAAAAATTTCCACCAGATTGTACAAGTTTCCAATCTTTACATTGATGAAAGTACTCACCATGTCAATACCAGCTTGAACCCCAGCAAGAACTGAATATGTGTAGTTTGAATGAGGTGGGTCAGTAATCTTATCAATACCTTGCCAATCAGAGATAACAAAGCCCTGCAATTTGAATAGAAGCTAAGATCAAAACTTTAATTATTTTCTTATCATTCTAAGGGGAATTTTACTAAAATTTATACCCTGAATTTAAGGGTGTTCTTGAGGAAATTGGTGATGAGATCACGGTTAGCATGCATCTTTTCTCCGTTCCAGCTTGAATAAGAAGCCATGATTGTTGAGACACCCTTGATGATGGATTGGTAATAACCTGGCATGTGAATGCTCATCAGTCCATGCCAATCAGTCACGGTGTTGTTCTCATTGATGCCTCTGGTGGTGCCCCCATCCCCCACAAAGTGCTTTGCACAGGCTGCAACTTTGTCCCTGAAGAAACCAAGATTTCAAGGCTTTTTAAGAAACCATTACAGCTTGATTGCATCATACAGAATACTATTATTCATATTAAACTTACTGTCCACCAACAAATGGAACACCCTTTCTTGAATTTTCAGGAATCTCCCCTTGCAGTCCTAGTATGATATCTGTCATTTGCTGAACAATTCCCGGGTCCTCACTGAAACTCTCATAGCATCTACCCCATCTTGGATCCCTGCACACCTATTGCACAATAGGAGAAGGTTTCACTTATGAACTATCAATCGAAATGTTGAAGTTACAAATTTTTTTTTCTTTTTTCAAACTTGGAATCTTATTCATACTGCTATGCATGGAGCGAACACATAGTTTATGCCAGTAGCCCTAACTTCAAGAGCTGTAGCAGCGCCAATCCTCTTCACAAGATCAGGATCCCTGTCAATAACACATCAGTTCCATCCTAAATCAGTATGTTACTGAAAATGATGAAAATTCTTCTGCAGAAAAAGAAAGGGGAACACAATGTGTATAGTGTGTCATACCTTGTGGCACCTAGACCAATGTTGTGGGGAAATATTGTGGCCTTGTACACATTGTTGTGTCCATGAACAGCATCAATTCCATAAATCATAGGGATCCCAAGACGGCTGGACAGAGAACCATTTTGGAAGCCATTAACCATGTTGATCCAATCCTCAGGAGTAGCCTTTGGGAGTGGCACACTTCCACCTCCACTTAGTACACTTCCAATGGAGTAATCTCTCAAGATCTCAGGAGTTACCACAGCGCGATCCAATTGCACCATCTGACCAATCTTTTCAGCAAGGGTCATCCGATTCATGAGGTCTCGAATTCGAACCTCGAGACGCTGCAGGGGGTCCCTGTATTTCACGTATTCAGCAGCTGCTGGGGGAGCCAAAAATCCAAAACAGCACAAGAGGAGAAGTCCCAACAGGGGTGCTGAAACTCTGACCATATTTAATCTCTGATTCTGTGAAAAACAAACATAAATGAAAATGAAATGTATGCAGAGTAATGAAAATGTTGAGTTCATGCAACATAATCAGTTGCTCTCATAAACATAAATTAAAGCAGTAAATACATTATATTATATATGAACAAAGTAATATTTACCATACCAGATTGAAAGACTTCTGACCTGCGAGGAAGAATGTGGATTCCGTGGACCGTAGTGTGGAAGAAATGGGAAAACACAATATTTATAGACTAAAACAGACCTGTACTGATACGTCGGACTAGGAATTTTGTTTTGATTTATAAGGATATTGGATAAGCTTTGGAGCTTGGATAAGTAGTTAGAATAAGATGAAGAAAGGGATTTTACTTGCTTTTACTTCTTTCTTTAATTTAGTTTTAACTCCAAACTGCATTAAACTGTAAAACAGTATTCATTGAATGAAAAATAATTATATAATTTGATACAGTTTAAACTGTTTAATACTTTTTTTTTAATTGAGTTAACTTCTTTAATAATGGCATATGAGTTGTGCTATAGAGTCAATCTTTTTATACTATTTTTTTATACATCTTTCACATGTTATTAAATAAGTTGATGCATTTAATACTACGAATCTTATATGAATTAAAAGAAGTAATTATTTTAATGGTACGTCAAGTTGTACAAAATAACAAAAATATGACAAAAAAATTATACAAAAATAATTTCTCAAATAGCATATTGTGCTATCAAGGTCCCAAACTTTCACCAAACGATACCAATGTATACTGTCACGCAAAATTTATTGCAATTCAATATTTTATTGCATTCAACTAAGGTCCCAAGCGCAAGCACGGTGCTCAAATAAGGTCTCAATTGTAATTTGGTGAAAGTTTGGGACCTCAGTGTAAATTTCATTAACTTGATACCTGTGTAGTCCATTACGAGTGCAGGGCTTTTTTTCTCACATGTTGGGAGAGCATTGACAAGATTCATCCCCTCTTTAAAACTACTCATATTCAGTCATGGCAATTCAAGCCAGTATTTGACATGGTGAGTATGATTCTAACATTACCTCTGCTTTTTGTAGTTTATACTTTAAGCTTGTGGAAGTATCAAAAGTCTGCATCTTTTCATACGAGGATGCTTTTGTACGAGCTTTGAACAACAAGAATATGCACTTCATTAGACCCAGTATCCATGGAACGAACAAGAAAGATTCAAGGAGAAACCAAACACTCTGTTTAGACCAGATCAGACATTTGTTATCAATGGTATAATTTCTCATTCAATCTAAAGAAAGTGGTTAATAACATCAGCAGGTCTAATCGTAAAGCCCACTACAGTCATCAGGTGATGCTAATGGCTTTGATTCTGTCGATTTGAGACCTTCCATTACTGCTTCAGAAAGTTTGGTAGAGTAGATGCTTCTAGAGTCCTGCAAGGTTTTAGCAAATTCAATATATCTGAGCATATCGGCATCACTGACGCTCCTCCTTGCAAACTTCAGTGCCTCCACAAAGTGAGAAAGCTTTATTTCTGCTGCCTCGTTTGCATCCTCTTCTATGGATGGACGATTCATGTCCTTCTCCCTAAAAATATCCTGTAAAACCAAAGAAACATTCATGAGCACATATGGGGTATAAATGATATAATAATTATAAAACAGAAACTCAATCCATGACATGATTCACTATATATACCTTTTCGATGTCTTCTCTGATGGCATATTTGCAAGCACGTTGACAGATTTCTGTAATGTCAGCGCCACTGAATCCTTCTGTGATTTTAGCAAGAGTTTCAAAGTCGACATGATGTGAGACAGGTGACTTTCGCAGGCATGATGTGAATATCTTGTATCTTGAAGCTTCATCAGGCAATGGAATGAAGATGAGCTGATCCAAACGGCCTGGCCTCAAGAGTGCAGGATCAATAATGTCAGGTCTGTTTGTTGCTCCAATGATGAATACAGTCTTCTTGGCAGATAATCCATCCATCTCAGTCAAAAGCTGGTTCAAAACTCTGTCAGCAGCACCACCAGCATCTCCAATACTGTTTCCTCTCTGAATGGCAATGGAGTCAAGCTCATCAAAGAAGAGAACACAAGGGGCAGATTGGCGAGCCTTGTCAAAGAGGTCTCTAACATTAGCCTCACTCTCTCCAAACCACATTGTAAGCAGTTCAGGACCCTTGATACTAATAAAATTCGCTTGGCATTCATTCGCAATCGCCTTAGCCAGCAGTGTTTTCCCACAACCAGGAGGGCCATAGAACAGAACTCCCCTGGATGGTGACATGCCAAACTTCTCAAACTTTTCTGGATGCTCCACTGGATATTGAACAGTCTCTTGAAGTTCTCTTTTGACAGATTCTAGGCCTCCAATGTCATCCCAGGTAACATCAGGCACTTCCACAAATGTTTCACGCAGTGCAGAAGGATTGCTGAAGCCAAGAGCAGTCTTGAAGTGCTCATTAGTGACAAACATGGAATTCAAAATTTCCGCATCGGTTGTTTCAGCTTCAACATCAATCACATCCATCTTCTCCCTAATGCATTGCAGAGCAGCTTCAGTACAGAGAGAAGCAAGATCTGCCCCAACATACCCATGAGTGTCCTTTGCCACTCTCTCTAAGCATACATCTTCAGTGATTCTCATTTTCCTTGTATGAATATGAAGAACCTCAAGGCGACCAACTTCATCAGGAACACCAATGTCAATCTCTCTGTCAAACCTTCCAAACCTTCTCAATGCAGGGTCAATGCTATTAGGACGATTGGTAGCTCCGATCACAATGACATGAGCACGAGCTTTCAAACCATCCATGAGAGTTAGAAGTTGAGAAACAATCCTCTTCTCTACTTCTCCATGTGTTTTCTCACGTTTGGGAGCAATTGAATCTATTTCATCCATGAATATGATGGAAGGAGCATTAGCTTCGGCTTTCTCAAATGCTTTCCTTAGGTTCGCTTCACTCTCACCAGCCATCCCGGACATGATCTCGGGTCCATTAATGCAGATAAAGAAAGCTCCAGTTTCATTCGCTATGGCTTTGGCAATCAAAGTCTTTCCAGTACCGGGAGGCCCGTAGAGTAAAATCCCTTTTGGGGGTTTAACGCCAATGTTCTTGAAAAGCTGGGGATGCCGGAGGGGAAGCTCCATCAACTCACGAATTTGCCCTAATTGTTTCCGAACACCGCCGATATCATCGTACCCCACACCGTCTAGTCTTTCTTCATCCTCCCTCTTCACAGCCTCCCCTTCCCAAAAAATCTCAGTTATTGGCGCCACCACACAGTATTCTTCAGGATCGGTCTCGACCATCTTGAATTCGACACTTCTTAGCCCTCCTCTGACAAGAAAAAGGTCTCCTTTTTTCACCGGACGATATTGCTCAAGAAAGTAAGCTGCAATTTGGAAAATTAAGGTTTTCAGTAACACTGAGAAGATCGACGCAGAAACATAATTAGGAATTCACGATGGAAATTGAATGCTTACGTTTGAGATAGGTATCGAAGAGGTTTCCGCTGATTCCTTCAATGGAGTCATCAAGAGGCAGAATGTGAACCCTTTTTCCGAACTTAATTTCAGGGAAAAGCTGAACGGTAACAATGTCGCCGAGCCTGACTCTGAGGGTTGTTCTCACTACCCTGTTCATCCGGATACTAGACTCTTCCACCGTCTCATCTGCCGTCGCAGTGCAGACCGTACTCCTTCTTTTCTTCCCCTGAAAACCCAAAAACTCCATTAGATATATATATATATATATATATA